TCGAAATGAATATGGCCCTGAATGGCCCCGAATATTCTGTTGTAACTCCTGTTAGGACGAAGCAGTCTGAACCAAAAAAATATGCTACATATCTTGACGTATGTATAATTGATTACATTGCATGCAATGCTGGAAATGATCTCTGTTTTCTGCCAGAGACATGAAGGGGTATGGGGGTATGCACATGGAAGTTGCAAACGGAGGTAAAATGTTGCAACGGCTGTCCAGGCATTCCGACTTTTTCGAAGGTCCATATACTGAGGAGCACATTGCATGTTGTTTCGTTCAGATTGCTCTATCCTAGAGAGAGTTATGTATTCTTGGCCTTTTTCGAGTGAATCTCCCTGTACTTATTGTATAGTGGCTGTTCAAAACTGGAACTGAGTGAACACTGAGTGAATACTATTCAGTCCCAAAATACGAGTGGTATGGAGGGGTGTGCCTTCTGCGGAATTTGGATGACCTTGTTAACAAAACATATGAGATTATTATAATTCATTAAACTGTAAACGCATTATAGACAAATTCATATGATCTTGTATTTGAAAATATTGAAGTTCTAGATGATCATGATCAAGAGCTTAGAGGTCGTAATGGCAACTAGCTCTACTGCTGTAGTGTGCCCTCTTGAGTACACTTGAACCAGGAGAACAGTGTGTTCTGCCATTGCAAACAAGTGTGTAATTGCACTCAGTTTAGCAGATGACTGGAGTTGAGTGTGCACACACACACTGACCACGAGTAAAGAAAGTCATCTTTATCTTCTGGCCTTAAAGTTGCATATTAAAGCAGAAGCTAAAAGCCTTGTGTTGACATTCGTATTAGGGGGCTTATAGCACGGAGGAGTGTCACTGCAGTGGTGTGTGAGAGTGTGCGTGTGTGTGTGTGTAGACTGTCCTTTGATCATATTTTGGACTGGAAGTCATAAAGACATGCTGTAACAGGATTGCTCATACTGTGATCAGCCTGAGATGCTTTGGCTGAGTGTCTCTCAGTAACGCTAAATTACACTATTAATGGAACTCTGTCAGACTGGCAAAGTTTCTCGCCCTCCATAAGCCTTGTGTCCGCCGCACATAGAGGACAGGGACTCCAAACTAGCCCTCTAGGCTAATATCCACATTTTGTGTTGGCTTCAGATTGGTTTCTAGAACTAGTTCGTGACAAAAATGACAAAAATCATTCTGGAATTAGCTTTCTGCTAAGCATGTTTCAGTTTCTGTTTAAAGGCTTACAGTTTCTTTTATAAAGGGTTCTCTAAACTCTAAACTCAGAGAAAAGTTAGCCTGATCTAGTAGAAGGTAGTATACCAGTTGAAATACTATGAGTTTTGTCATAATTATTACCAGTATACCACAAATAAGTGCGGACAATATGGTGTACAAACAAAGCAGAACATGCTAATGTTAGCACCTTTAGCTCTGTGTCAGCAGAGAGTCATGGATGTTTCAGTCATGTTTCAAATGGAAATGGAAACGCAGCAGACCTTTAATCACCTCCTGCTGTCTAGTCTGTTACATTTTAAGCAGTCTACTTTGTTTTCGAGGCAGCAGACATAGAGAAATGGCCAGCCTTTTGGAGTTAGCCTTAGCCTAACACGGACACCAGACTGATTGCTGCATGTGAGTGACAAATGATTTGCGAAATTTGTATTTTCCATTCCAACTTAATGGTGCAGCAGTTCCATTCAGGTGCCTATGCAAGTGGCAGAATGTATGCTGGCTGCTGAATAAAAAGCCAACTTCAGCCATGTAGAAATTCAGACATTGCATTACATTCACATTTGCTGGTGTTCAGATTTAGTTTAATAACAGGAAATAGGCAGAAACTACTTACCAATGACACATTATCAAAGGTGCCACACACTCAACCCGGTGACTGGTTAATTTAAAAGTAGTCCTAAAAACTAGTTCATTGTCAAACAAGCCTAATTTTGGAAAACTGCATACATGGCAACTCTGATGTACTGTAGTCTTGGAAGTATCACCAGAGAGTCTGGTGTTTTGCTCACAAGACTTGTCTGCTTGGAGAGAAAGGGACTGACTGACACAGGAAAAAAGACCACATTGCAAAAAAAAAAAACCTTAGTTAAACTTGAAATTTTTCATAGTAACCTATCAGAACAATTATCATTCTGCTAACATATTATTTCAAGGCAGCCTGGTTACTTACTTTTTTAAGGCATAACATTTTTTTTTACAGTGCAACAACACATTGTTTTTTCTTGAAACATAAGGGCAAGTGATTGTCAACGGTTCTGTGGGTCAGCAACAGAGCCATGTAAATCAAAGTAGTATGCATTTAATAAATCAAGCCGTTACCATGCACCATGATAATACAAATTAGATAAACTGTGTGTGTTGATGTTGTGTGTGTGTGTGTGTGTGTGTATGTATATATATATTATATATATATAAATATATATATATATATATATATATATATATATATATATATATATATATACATACAATTGTAAAGATAGACCTGTATGAAGAAGGTAATTAAGTAATAATCTACATTTTGTATGTTTTAAAGTATATTTCTTAAGACAAACAAAATGTCAATATAGTGAGATTATTTCACCTAATAAAATTACCCAAGCAAAAATGTCTAGAAATAAAAATTCTTATAATATACTGACAACAATCTTAAAAAGAGAAATATTAGATATACTGACTAGATTTAAGATAATTTCACTTCCCAGTGTAGATGACTGCGTTAATTATTTAAAAATGTGCATTCATGAGGCCCCAATCCTGCCTTTTGCTTAGGGCCCCAGAATCACTAAATCTGCCTCTGCACAGCAAGCAGAGCAAGCAACTGCTTGAAAAAGCTTGTGTTCTAATTCATGATTAATGCTATGTCTTTGATAACTCTGCTTGTTTGCTTGGCTGTTGCCGGATTTGACCTCCAAGGTTGGCATTACAGTTGTGGATGATTGACACTATTTTCAAATCAAACATATGGCACGTCTTCTGCTTTAAATCCAGATTGAACTAATTGGCTAAGCCTTGATCATTTAGCAAGTTGGATTTGTTCTGGGAGCGGACAGCCCAATCGTAGCCCCTGCTGTGCCAGACCATGTGATCTTCATAAAAGTTAAAATAACAGTCTGGTGAAAAATTAAACAAACACAATTTTCTCCTTCCAGTAGTTATACTGCACCAATTAGCAAAAAGTAGCAGTAGTAGAGATTTTAAAGGCTGAATTTATATGTATACATGCAATCCTGAACTCCCTTGAAGTGTTCCCCATAGACTTGCATTGATTTTTGTGAAAATGTGTTTTTCTTCAAGATATGCATCAGAATCAAGTGTTCAGGTCTTTCATAATATAATGCACTTCTGTTATTTTCAGTTTCTGTCTTTACAGTAATGCTACATTCTTTAGCATCTCTATGGGAATCAGTATATAACATTAGCACCAAGCTAACTGAGGTGTACTTTTACTATTAATGGCAGTTCTACAGAAAGAGGACATTTCAAGCTGGTAAATCATATGTTTCATATATTGTTTACTTTATTTTACTCAGTTTTTAGTCAATTCTTCAGTAAATACTTACAGCCTTTCCCTCAATGTTCTTGATGGAGCATCTTAGCCCATTATGTATCTAAGCTGTCTTGCAATTGGCCAGTCGAGACATAGTTAAATTAAACTACATTCTCACATGTTGAATGTTTAGTAAGGTTTGAGACATTTTTCTTCATATGCATGCAGTTTGTGCCTGCAGACATTCACTGCAGTTCTACGTTCCAAATTTTAAAAAACGTCAAAATAATGTACGATTTATTTATATTTTTTCATATTATTGGCTCGTTACACACAAATATGTAGGCCGTTTAGATGTGCATTAGATGTGCATAGAAAGCATTTAAATGTACACTAGCAGTGTGCACCAGTTACATCCAAAAACTACACAAAAAAGCAATTTAAAAAACTAATTTATAATGAATTTATAATAAGATTAGGCTTAAGGCAAGGCTTGAGGTTTGAGTTCATTTTCTACCTGCTCAAAATACAGCTGAACCTGTTTATATCCACAATTTAATGGTCTTTTTTTATGTAAATAAAAGTGTCTAGTGTCTAGGCTAATTATCTACTTTACTTGCTAGTTAGCTTAGCTTAGTGGCTGATATGAAATGATACACTGCTGTGTGCTGAGCACTCACACAAATGTCCACATTGACACAGAATCAGGTGTAGAATTAAGCAAAGCTTTAATTTTTCTCTGTCAAGTGTGGAATATTAGCAAAATCTGCTAGAAAAACCAACATAGCTGGTCACCAGCCAATTCAGCATATCTTAGGTTTCGGATGCTGGCATGCTGGTCAGGAGCAATGGACGTTAATTTGCTAGTCACCAGCAAAACCAGCATATTTCATATTTTATAAGCTGGTATGTTGGTCAACCAGGATGACCGTGCTGGACCTGTTTGTAATAATCAGCACCAGACCAGCCCAAACCAGCATTGACCAGCTTAGCTGTTTTTTCAACAAGGAAAACACTTGCTCTGTGGCCGCTAGCATACATGCTAATAGTGCTAGCTTCTTTTTCCTTATGCTAAATTCTCTACAAAGTGCTAATTCTAAAAATAGCAATCAAAATATCAATATACCATCCTAGTTTATTTTCTGGTTCTTCTATTGGTCGTGAAATACTGCTTGACATATTCATCTGGTAAAGGATTCATTAAACTGTCATTGGCTTCAGCTGCAACTGTTACCTCTGCTGCTTTTGAACAGGGAAAACTGGAAAAATGTCAATGAAATCCATTACATATTTGGGTGCATTTGACATTACTGCCTCAAACATAACAAGGTTTGACCATTATTGCCAATGTTTTATCTGTTATGCTTGAATTTATTGTAAATTGTGCCATTGCTTCCATGTTTAGTTAGTTTTCCACCCGGAATTATGGCCAAACATTATGTTTACAAACATGATTTGGTCTGTATATATCTATGGTTATGATAGTTGTTGATGCATTTTAAACCTACCTGGTGCTTTGTAGTAGCCAGCATCCTCCTCACTGTAGGGTAGCAGGTACACTTCACCTTCTTTCCACAGCAAGGAGGATTCCTGATGTCCTGCGAACTCACCTACCCAGCCATCAGGGTCTTAGACACATAAATACACACACATATTTTACAAAGGTTGGAAGGGAAGCTGACTGTATATTATTGGGTCATTATTCATAATGGTTTCGTACTGCTGAATGCACTTAGTTGTACACCAGCAGCGTGCATCAGTAGAGTCCATACACTACACAAAAAGGCATTTAAAAAAGTAATTTATAATGAATTAAGGTTAAGATTAGACTTAAGGCAAGGCTTGGGGACAGAGTTCAGTTAGGTCAGAAGCTTGTATCAGTTAGCCTGAATATGTTTCTGTACTTCCTTACCTGACTATTTTATTTATGATATTGTTATGTGAAGGCTTATAGTGCTGTGCAACACTCAGAGACCACCATTCTCATTTATTTAAAGTCCAGTCAAAACAGCCATTAAGTCGAACAGGAGATAAGAGGTGATATTTCAGAGCAGATTAGATAGAAGGTAATCCATTTGCACAAGGAAGGCCAAAGTCAAAGTAAAGGAAGTGTGGAAAACACAGCATTTTCCAAAACTAGAATAAAAAAAAATATTAAATAATACAGAGATAACAATATCAGATTGTTCAGTTACCCTCAAGAAAGTCTGAGGTGATGTTGAAGGCCACATGGTGACTGGAGGATGAGCATGCGAGGGAGTGACCAAAGCAGAAGCATGTCTGACAGCCATCTGGATTGTCTGGTTGAAGATTGAATGACCCAGGCTTGCACCTAAACACTCACACACACCATATGCTTTCCGTAAGCACACTTTAAAGCATCTTAGTAATAATAGTAATATGAATATATATATATATATATATATATATATCTAATATAAATAATTATAATTATAATATATAATATAAAACTATAAGTTTCTATGTTGCTGTTGAGTTATTTTGCTGCTTGTTGAGTTATCCATAGTTGTCATGCTAGCACTTTTCCAGAGAGATACAATCCTAGATTCTATTGTAGCAACATACAGCATGACCAGCTGGGCTTTAGCCTGCACTACTACTATGGATGGTTTGAAGTTCAAACATTAAAAAAATGCACTCACTGTGTTAAATAAATTAGTGATGTTAATAATTTATCATGCTAGCCGTTATTAATATGTTAACTTTGACGGCCCTAACATAAATGTAAACATGTATAAAAAAAGACAATATCAGAAAAAAAGTGCTGATAAACAAAATGCTAAACTAAATAAATACGTGTAGATGTAATATATTGCTTAACTGAAGTCACCTGTCACAGGAGTATCCTTCCACATTAGGTTTACAGTGGCAGGTTCCATCTTCAGCAGAGCACACACCCACACTGCCCCTTTCATCACACTCACACAACCTGCAAGTACATATCCCAGCAAACACACACACAAACACACATACAAGCCAAGTGAAAAATATCAGCAAAATGCGCTTACACACTATACACATCCTGTCAAGACATGACAGCAGAGGAATGAAGAAAACATTCACACAGCAGCTACTTACACACACCAGGACTCAGGGACTGAAAAAAAAAAGATTTGATCTGAGCAGAACCGATATTTTAACCCTTCTGTTCTTGGGTTCTAATCCCAATGCCAAGGGTCAGCTGGAGTGATGTAAAGCATACTGTCACTGGACTCTGGAGCAGTGAAAATGTGTTCCTTGGAGTGATGAATCATGCTTCACTATCTGGCAGTCTGATGGACAAATCTGTGTTTGGCGGATGCCGGGAGAATGCTACCTACCAGAATGCATAGTGCCAACAATAAAGTTTGGTGGAGGAGGGATAATAGTCTGGGGCTGTTTTTCAGGGTTTGGACACGTTCCCTTAGTTCCAGTGCTACAGCATACAACGACATTTTAGACAATTATATGGTTCCAACTTTGTGGCACCAGTTTGGGGGAAGGCCTTTTTGTATTCCAGCATGACTGTGCCCCACTACACAAAGCGAGTGGCATGCACAGAGCATTGACCTCAAGCCCACTGAATACCTTTAGGATGAATGTCGATTGAGACAATCCTTCTCATTCAACATCGTTGCCTCTTTTGACTAAATAGGCACAAATTCCTAAAGATACACTCCAAAAATCTTGTGTTATAGCCGCAAAGGGGGGCTGAACTCCATATTAATGCCCATGGTCTTGGAATGGCATGTCCAGTAAGGTGTGTATTAGGGGTGTGGGAAAAAAATGATTCTTAGACGCATCTCGATGCGGACGTGAACAATTCTGAATCGATTCACAAATGTCAAAAATCAATTTTCTAAATATTTAATTTATAGCGTAATGTTGACGGAATGCAAAAGGTGGAACTTGGAAGTGCGGAAGTGCAGCGCCCGGACAGTCTGTGGCGGCACATAACAGAAACACAGCTGGATGAGTGAGAAATCCGACCAGCTCTCTCTGCATTAAAAGCCAGGTTAGATCAGGAGTCACAACCCAAATGATAAGAAGAGCCATTTTGGGAGCCGCAACATTTAATGTCCACTATGTCTCAGTATGTGCTGATGTCCTAGTATGGGCTAAACAATATAAACGAAAACGCAGATTTACTTTGCTCTGCTTTAAGCTTCGCCTACAGCCGCTTTCCTCCCATCTCCGCCAGAAAACCTTTCCTCGGAAGTAGATCAATTAAATGTCTCTCAATGTTCGACTGTTTTACGAGGCTGAAGTCGCTTCTTATTCTCCAGCTTCTTGTTCGAATTTACCCGTTCCACCTTAAATTCTAACTGAGGCGCCGAATGTAAATGCGGCACCATTTAAGGTGGAACAGGAGAATTTGAAAGATAAGCTGACTTCAGCTTCGCCACTTTTTAGTGTTTGACAGTCTCTCGTTGCAGATTTAACGGACCAGGAAACCAACTGCGCTGCTTATAAATGCGAATAACACATCGCTGCTATGTGACCTGCAGTCTGCACGCCGGTTCTCAGTCGTTGCGAAACAGGGCTTTTGTGCTATGTTGCACACGACCCGTCTCAAAGACATTTTACTGACACAGCGTCCCCCCCCGGTCTCTACAACGAGACCAAAACCGAAGTTATAAACTCACTAAAGAAAACGGGTAGAATAGCTGTAACTTGTGCTGCGTGGAGATCTACTGCCACTGGATCTTAGTTCACCGTGACTGCGCATTTTATCGCAGATGAGTAGCAGCAGCTTCTCGTGCTCCAAACAAGAGCAGTGAATGAGAGCCTTCTATTTCATTTGCCACATCACTTCCATCTGTTTTTATTAAAAAAAGATATTGGAAGTAAATTCATTATGGATCATTACAAATACTTTGCTTTAAAAGTACCAAGTCACTTTAAATAACAATAACACCGAGTTACTCAGTCACTTTAAAATGTATATTGTCTCTACATTCCGTATATATTTTGTGTATATTTTGTGTATATTTAATATATTTCAGTTGGTTTTTCTTGTATTTTTATTTTTACTTATTTACTTTCTGTAGAGTGATTAGCTGAGCCTCACCACAAGCATTTCAATGCATAAATGTCCTGACATGTTGTGCAAGTGACAAGTAAACTTAAAACTTGAACTTGAAACTGGAGCTCACACAGTGAGAAAATATAAATGCTATATAGAAAAAATAATCGTTTTATAATCACATCGCAGCCCTCTGAATCATAATTGAATTGAATTGTGAGGTGCCTAGAGCTTCCCACCCCTAGTGTGGTATATATATATATATATATATATATATATATATATATATATATATATAGATATATATATATATATACCTTACTGGACATTTTATTTTATTGATTCCATTGAGATATTGAGCATATACAGTCTGTGCCTGTATACCTACAAAGTGTACCTATAGTGGCCCCAAAACATGGGAACCAAAATGTCTAACCTAGTGCCATTTATTTTAAACGACTGTCATGTTCTTTTTGACAAAGTACACTTCTTTTTAAACGTGACTGAGTGAGTTTCAGATCACTCTTATTTGAGCAGTTTCTTTTCTCTGCAGGTTTTTGTCCATTTTTCATATTTCTGAGTTTGTGATACTGTCAATGAACACAAGCTCACCCACATCATTGCAAGAAAGATAGCCCTATACTTTGATGTTTCTACCTCTGTGCTTTAAAGTGCTCTTAGTGTAGCTTGGCTAGAATTCTTCTCCAGGCTTTCTCCACACAAAGAGCCTACCTTCAGTTTGATGTTGTGCTAAAAGTGTTTTTCATAATATCAAAATATCTTTATATAATATATGATGGTTTCTATATATATATTATCTAATATACAATAATGGTTTCTATATATAATATATAATATATATTGGTCTCAAAATATCATTTTGTTAACCATTTTAGGAAGAAACCTAAAGAACTTCATTAAAACTTACCAATGGTTAAATATTGTATGTGTCTAAGTACTTTTTGGGGCCACTGTATAGGGTGGGCATTTCTGATAAAATGGCCAGTAAGTGTAGATGAGCTTACAAGGTAAGTGTTTCTTATAATTTGGCAACAAAAAGATGACCGTACACTGTTTATGTTTCTGATTATCAGTGCGATCCAAGCATCAGTGTTTATATAAGCATGCTATTAGATATAATTCAATTATCACTTGATTCATCTTTTTGTCTGTCTTTCTGTTTCTTTACCACCCTCTCTCACTTTTCTCTCACACACTCTCTCACCAGACCGCCTCTCTCTCTCCTCCTACTCCTCAATTTTGGCCTGTTCTGTTTCGCTCCACTGAACCAACTAATTCACACCACAACACACTGACTCACACGGGCCACAGGAGAGAGAGCGAGTGTGTTTGTTTTTGATTTGTTCGATGTATTTTATTTAGCCTTAATCCCATATTTTCTTCCGCATTGTGCTGTTCTTTGTATCACTTTCGAGTGTAGGTCACACAAGTGCACAAGCACACACACGGAAGCATATAGGATTCAAAACTTCATGAGCGCACTGTGCAAAAGTCATAGACCACCCTTCACTTATTTAATTTCTAGTCAGAACAGCCATTAAGTCCAAGTTTTGCAGGAGATATTTCTGAGATAAGAGGATATAGATTCGCAGTGAAGGGGAAAGTTAAAGGAAAAATGAGAAAAACAAGAGAAGTGGGTCTCCAAGACCTGCTAGACCACCAAAACTGTCCCCATCAGATAAACAGTATGTAAAGCTTTTATCTTTGAGAGAGAGGAGAAAATCAAACTCCACTCTTGATTCAGATCTGAAAAGATCCACAGGTGTTTCTGTCCATCCTTCCACTGTGAGAAGACAACTCAACACTTGGAGTCTGAAAGGATGTGCAGCTGTCAAGAAGCTGATACTGAGACAAAGAAAATAGACAAAAAAAGAAGAAATTTGCAATTTGTAATTGAACTGACTGGCTGAACTTGGAGGTGTTGAAAAATATCCCTGAAGGTTTCGTTGAAAACAAGTCTCCTGGAAAAAATGGGAGCTGTAATAACAGAAAAGAGTGGACGCATTAAATACTGAAAAATCTAATGTTATTGTTGTTTCATTTAGTGCGCTCTCCTTTTTCCTGCAGCTGAAAAATGAATACCTTGAACTTACTGGCCATTTTGACTGGAAATGAAATAACTGAATGGGTGGTCTCTTTTGACTGGTCTTTTGCCCAGTACTGTAGGCTGTCTGCCAGCCTGCTTATGTTACAGAATGTACAGAAAATAATGAAGAAGGAACTTTTGCATTGCGTTCTAGGGAATGGATAGTACTTGCTAATAAAAAGTCTCCAAATGGCTATAAATGTTTGTAACTTCGCACCTCTTCTGCCATCCAATCCTCGAACTACTCCATTTGATTCTGCACTAGTTTTAGTTTGAGTCTCCTTCTGCCCCCTGACTCTACCAGATAGCAATCAGTGTTTGCTTGATGCACAGCTTCTGTGAGCTCCACTTATCCTTGAGCATCTTCTGTGCATCTTGTCATAGATACTTGTATGTGCATCTTCACAGAAGAGTCTATCTTAAATTCTGTTCGTACATTTTGGTTTCTATTTCTTTATAAAGTATGTTTTAGGCCAAACACTTATCTCAGAACTATAGTAAAATGATGTTTCAGCCATTATGTATTAACTTTCTCTTGTGTAACTTTTATAGACATTGAACTCTTCAGTGTTCCTATCACCACCACTGTGAACAATTCTGGCTTACTAAGTTTCTCTAAAATGGTACATTTCACACCAAACCACTCTGAATAACTTTTGTTTATATCTTAACCATTCAGTCATGTAGAAATTTTGAAATATTGGTGGGCTTGTTTGATGTCACCAGCTGCTCACCTAAACGCCAAAAAAGAAACACTGCACACATGTCCTGCAAGTCTAAAGCTGGCTCTACACAGTGAAACTTTAGTGCAGCTTTGGTTGCTTAAAACCTACATGAAACTAAATTGCTCTTGAGTTGCGCAATGTAAAACATTCTGCAACTCATTTGAAACTCAGCTACAACTGTTTCAAGTGTCTCAACTTTGTGAAACAAGTTTCATGAAACAGTAAATCAATCAAAAGCGCTGACAGAAAGTCACATGATCACATTGAACAGTGTACTTGCAACCATTAATTTTACCCAATCAGTGGATGAGAAAATAAAACAGAAGATGGTTTATTGGGCATTTGAAAACCCACCGACTGACTCAAGGATGGAATTCATCGTTTTGTCAGTGTCCTGAGCCACGACAATAAACGTGAGTTTCTCCAAGTTAACGTTTAAAAGGCTGCAACAGAGACATGGTCCATGATGAACTTTTGGTTCTAGGACAGGATGAGTGAGACATCAAGCGGTCCACAGCCATAATGGCTACTTAAACATGAATTTTCGATGGCTTAACATATACACAACAGATAAAAACCCAAATGTATCATAAACAACCTTAAATAGAGAGCTAAAAACATAATACAAGTTTTCCAAATACAGCTGGAAAAAGTACAAAGATGATGCTGCAAATATGTAAAAAAAAGACCCTGTGAATGACTTTATAAACAGAATTATATGGTGTATCAAGAAATACAAGCTGCCAATTTGGTTAACTAGTGGCGTAATTGGGCATGTTGCATGCAACTTTGATTTTGAAATGCTTAGTGTAATGGTCAAATTGCACAGAAATGCAACTAGTTGAAAAGTTTCACCACATAAAGCCATCCTTAACAATACAACCACATATATAAAGACACATACATAACATTTAAAATGGACAAAAACACCTAGCAAAAATTTAAAGAATGTTTTGTTTGTTTGCTTGTTTCAGCCAAACAAGTCTGTACACACCAAGTACTTTTCATCAAGTTTCAATCTCATCAAAATATCTCCTCTTTGACTTACAAAAACAAATGTGGTAATGAAAGATTCAAATCCACACCTTAGACAGAATTTCTTTACTTGTTTCAATGAGCAACAAGTGAGAAATAATTAAAAAAGGTACATGAAGAGAAGTTTCAAGGTGTATATGAGACCTAGATATGAGACCTAGATGGATTTAGAAAAAACACATTACTAAAATACATTTAAAGGGAATTCCACCAAGTTTCTGAATAATTCAGTCCTTCAAATGTAAACTGATTAATTTAGAGTGGTTTGATGTGAAGTGGTTTATTGTAGAGAAACTTACAGACTCTGATTTCTTTACAGTGGTGGTGATAGGAACCAGGGGTCGCCATGTCAACAACACAAATATAGCCATTTTATTTACTATCCAAAACCACCAGTGAACCCACACGTACCTGCTTAGTTTTTATACGTAATGTTGATGATGGTAAAATAATCATAAATCTGTAAAAAAAAAAGTCTTGTTTGGGACTATTTTGCCTTATAACACCTTGTGTGTACCCCTCCGCCATGAACAGATTGAAATCCATATGGAAAAAAAAATATATGGACAAGCATTTTTTTATAGATTTGAAAAACATTTCAAACACATTGCAGTCCATGCTGAAATCCTTTTAAATACTAAAATGTATTTCAGAATATAGTGCCATATTAACCAAATATATTTTAAAATACATTGTAATAAAATGTCTGTGGACATATTACACATACAGAAAGGTACCATACAAAAATAAGTGTATGTAAATGTATTTATCAAATACGTTTGAAAGTGTGCTTTACTGTTTGGATACCTTCTGAAATCAAATTGTATTCCAGTATGTTAATTTTAAATATTAGCAAATCTTTCACATGGCAAAAGCAAGTGGTATTGATACTCTGTAAAAAAAAGTTTTGATTTGATATCTTGCTTAATTGAAATACATTTTGTGTGAGTGTATCTTAATACAAAGTACAATGCAAAACACAAAAGTCAGTACCATTCATTCAGTTCATGTATACTTATTTTTTTGTAAACTTTGTTAAAACTACATGGAATTGAAAAAAAAAACACATAAATGCATTTTAAAATATATATTCAGCAAATATGTTCCTTGGCCATTTTCATACATTTTAAAATATATTTGATAAATACATTAAGAATATATTTTTCTCCATCTGGGAATAAATGGATTCAAATACATACAATTCATAACTACTTCATGTAATATCTTTCTGTGAGGGAGCTTTCAGAGGCATTAAACTCTTTAGATGTCTGGTTCCTATCACCACCACTGTGAACAATTCTGACTCAGTAGATTTCTCTAGAATGGAGCATGTCACATTAAACCACTCTGAATAACTGAATAATCACAAGCATTTAATTTTGCAGAACTTTTGAAAAATCTGTGGAGTTCCCCTTTAAGTTCTTATCGAATGTCTTTTGTTTTCCTGTTTCTTTATATTTATCAAGGGGAGGTCATAATTCATCTTTCACTTTAACCTTTCACTTTCATACATCTCTCTCTGTCTCTCTTTCTCATTAGGCCTACCTGCAGCCTCCTGGGCCGAGGGAGTGAAAGCCAGCTTTGCAGACATCACACTTTACCCCCATCACGCTCGGCCTGCACGCACAAACACCTTCCTCGTCACACTGCAGGCTCACAGATCCTGGACACAGAGTGATAATGAGATAGAGAAAGACAGAGAATTTATTTTCCAGTCGTCTGCTTCTTAATGAGCTCATGAATTGTTGCAGTTGCGTCACTGGCTCAGCAGAATGAACATTCACATATTCAATGCCGTTTCTGCTGCGTTTCATTCAGATGGCCTGCAGCATGTAAGCTGAGATTTCCTTAATTGCTTTTTGCGTCTAAAAAGGTGCAGTCTCGTAAGAGAGAGCCTCAGCGGAACATTTCGAAAATAACAACGCAGGTCTAGTGTATAGGGATCAGACTGCAATTATGAAAGAACACTTTCTAATTTGTAAAATATTGATGGAACAGAGCAGGACTGCATGTGGCATGCTGTAGATTCGAGATGGATTGCCTGGGTCGTCGTGGGATTGCTTGTTGTTCAGCCATTGCTGTTCGGTCATTGTTTGCGGCAGCAGAGGTTAACTTTTAGATGTTGAGAGTCATTAGTTTTGGCTTGCTATATACTAATTATATTGCTATATAATTAATTGCATAGTGAGATTTACAGTTAATTACATTTACAGTATTATGCAAAAGTCCTAGGTGCAAAAGAACATTATTTAAAACCATTTATCTTTGCAGTAATTGCATTTATGCTTGTAAAAACACCATGTATCATTAGAATGAGTGCAAATAAACAGAAATACAGTAAAACATAAATAAAAAGTAACACAAATTTGTTATTTTCAAAAAAGTAGTTCATACTTTGAAGAACATAATTTGGTTCCGGATTTTAGAGTCAGAACTGAAGACATTGAGAATTTTAACTGACTTGGATTTTATACTAAAATCTTTTTGCTTTGAATAGCAATATATCTTAAATATGCTTTTAAAATATTTTTTTTTTTCACTAACATCATGACATTTGTTGATTTTCTAAGTGAAAATAAATAAACACATCGTATACAGAGAATATACTTCTGGGGCTGCAACAACTAATACAGAATGGCTATGTCAGGTGATTGAAAGAGGAAAATACACATAGCAGAGGCTGCAGTACAGGGTTGAGCATGACTGAAAAATAAAAAAAAAAAACACTTATCATCTAGACAGTTTCCTGTATGATAAGTAAAACCAAACTCAGTGGGCAGCAAGACTATCGTGTGTGAATAAGTGAGAGAATATACACTGCGTCCATGGCAGAAACTCGACATACTATATTAGTGAGATACTGATATAGTGCCTTCCACAAATGTTGCCACTCTGGTAAACATAAGCAAAACAAGCTGCACAGAAGGTTTTTTGCTGCTTATCCTTTTACTCTTTAAGTCAAAATATTAAGAAAAAATCTAACCTTTGTTCAAAGTACAATGATTGAAAGAAAAAAGACTAAAGGGTCATTCTACAGAAATGTCCATTTTTGTGTCCCTAGCATTTACAGATATATTACACTTAAATAACATGTTAGGGTTACAATTTATTATATTTTAAAATAAAACAATAAGTTATTTTAACAATTACACCTTCTTGAGCATCAATTAAACAATATTGGTTTTTAAATCAATTATCTAGAATTCCAAGCGCCACAGAAGTGCTTGTCCCCACAGTCATGTGTAAAGGGTGAGTGACATATTTTCAGGTAAAAAAACACATTTTTCTGCAATTTTAACTACAATAATCTATACATGACTATGGAATACATAAATTAAATGACATAAAGAAAATAAATGCCAAATAAATATCATAAAATATATAATGAAAGTTGTGGTCCCCAGGAGTCATGTCACTGGTGTTACTGCGTAACAAAGAATCTCTTATTTTGAAATAAAAATCACACTGATGACATCACTTGACTTCCTTTTACCTATTTTCTGAAGATCTATGAAAAAAGCACATGGTGAGTCCACTGTGTCTTTTCAGTTATCAGGAATTTTCTCATTTAGCTCATGATTTCATGTGAAGCTTTTAGTCGACGTCACTGGTGTGACCTACTTTATTCTTAGGTCATTGTGAAAAAACAGAATACAAATAGATTAAATTACATATTTTAGTGGATATTCCATGATTGACAACTTGTGGTTTGATGCTCTGTACCAGCCATTTTGTAAAATGCATTTCATTAATATTATTAAAAATGTCTCTGCTGTTACTGTCTCTGGTGTTACCTTTCTTATGTGTAACACAAGTGAGGATTGGTAACACAAGTGACACCTATTGATAGCTAGAAAAGTGGACGTTTCTGTAGAATGACCCTAAATCTTATCATGAAATAAATATTTCTCCCAAAACTGTTTGTCCACATTTCACAACTAAACTATCAGGGATGCTTGCACACTAATGCACACAGACTAACTTGGATGTTTTTCATTTTTCTTCAGGTTTTAGCCTCCAGTGCACAGAGGTTTATGTCACTAGGCACGTTTACATACAGCCTGATAACAACAGATGAGAATAACAGCCATATAAACGCCTGTTTCTGATTTCATTTCCAGCCAGAGAGTTTAATTATGTGCTGTGCATGTGCATTTGCATCATATGCAATGTTTGGGACACCATAAACTGGTCTGCAGAGGGGACAAAGTTCATGCTTCAAACTTAAAGCCTTAATTATAATAGCAGGATGGATGGTCGCAAAGCTCGCAAAAACAAGCCATTCAGACCAGTATATGGGCAAACGAACCACAGCAGGTTTACTCTTTCCCACCAGTCTTTACTGCCCACTTTCAGCTAGAGGTTTTGTGTCATCGGCAGTGGGACTGGCATCCAGCTTATGTGTTGCAGAACATGCTGTCTTTCTCTCACCCTTCTTTAATAAGTACATGTGAAGTGCATGTTCCTGAGTCTGCCATCATTTTAAAACAATTAAAAACACAAGCGCGCCAGCTGAAAACTCAGGTAAACACACTGCTGCTCACCTCTGACTGGACTCACATGATGCTCATTATCATGGTAACGTCTACCCTAAGTGGTACTCCACACATGCACATAATTTTGAGTACTTGTAGTGTGCATGTAAACAGATTTTCATCAGACTGTTGAGTAGAGTGGGCATATAAACACCTCAGTCTTAATTTATGATCAGAATGAATTCACTTGGTTTGGCCACTGTAATAGCCACTGTGATTATCAGCATTTGAATGTGCACTGACATAAATGTATGCTAAAAAACACCAACATCACATACATGGTTATTTCTCTTTTACATGTGAAGAACATGGGCTGATTCCCAATCCCATTTCACCCATTGTCCCTACCACTTAGCCCTTACCCCTTTGCTTTGCACATTCACGCTACCTGGCCCTTCAAATGGAGGTTTTTCTCCAACAGAGTGATATCAGAAAAAAAGAAACACTGACAAGAAACTCTGTGCAAGCGACGAAAGAATCCCACAAATATAGATATTTTCTCTGTTAAAAATTACAATAACCATTGTATTGTCTAAGTTTAATATTGTTTTAATGTACTATGGTGCTTTTTTTATATTAAAAAAAAATGGTATTAGTATGCTGATGTCTCGGTAGCTAACTTTCCCGTTCCACCTTAAATAGTGCAGAAGGTACATTCTGGCACCTTAGATATCAGAACTGCTGTACCACTTAAGGTGGAATGGGAAAATGTGAACAAGAAGCTGGCGAATAGCGAACTTTGGCTTTATATCACCGAAAAATTAGGGGTGGGTGATAAAAAATAATTGTCACATCCCTCCTCTTCGAAAGCATATGATTACCTAAAATTTAAATGGTATTATCTTAGTTTAATGTCATTTCAATGTATTATGGTCCTTTTCTTCATAAAATCACAAGTAGCATCATGATGTCTCAATAGATAGCTAGCTAAATTTCCCATTCCACCCTAAATGGTGCAGCATTTTTGATGCCTCAGGCACCAGAATGTAACTGCTGCACCATTTAATGTGGTACGGGAAAATTAGAACAAGTAGCTGGCGAATAGCTTTATATCACTGAAGAATTAGTGATGTGCGATAAGAAATAATTATTGCATCCCCGCACTTTGAAGGCTTATGATGCCCTAAATGTAACTAAAGAGCAGCAGCGAGGCCTCTGCTATCATTGCAGACTGGCAGGTTCGCCTACAGAGCTGCGCTAGTAGCCTGTTAATGAAGTAATGTTTTTTTATTTGGGGCTTGTCCTATTTCATAGGGGAAGATTTCAACCACCATCCCTTGTAACTCAGTTTCAAGGCGCAAACTGACACTTGAAAACAAGTGGGATCGAGCTTTAGTGACTCTGGGGTCCTAGGCAAAAGAAAAGAATGTGGCCTCCTGGATGCACATTTTTAAACTAGCTGAGGCTCTGGGCTCCCCAGTGATGTAACCGCCTACACTCTGAAATAATCAATGTGTAAATAAAATAATTTTAAATGAAAGAGTCCTAAAATCTAGTCGATATGCCTAATATTTCATATATCCTGTATCTGCCAATATAGTCATAATGTGGTATGGATTACATTTTTGAGCCCCAACACTGGAGCTATCTATACTACCATTAGCATTAGCATTGTGTATGGCCTGCTGATCCTGTGCAGCGCCCTGTTCTGACTGAAAAAGTTCAGCTCGCTTTGGGAGTGCAGCGACAAAGGTTTTGCTTTCCTCCAAATTTCTGAGTTTCTCTGCTGCACTTGGATGACTTAATTTGATTTGTCTGAACACCCAGAAAATCACACCGAAAAACCTCCTGTCCAGAATGTAGATTAAAATGACTGATGACCGCAGGGCTAGTATATGATCTATGATATCAAATTTCATTACATGATGTTATTGACCACACAGATAACTCCTCATTAGAGGAGAAATACAGAAAACCAGCCTCATAAGATTTGTTTGTAATGTTCCTTTATTGTTTCTGCAACTTTCAATTGCAGTGGAGCAATGCAGAAAATCTGTTGTGCGCTTGTTAAAGCCCTTTTTACACAAGTATACATTTCCATTCCTTCTGATAATCAAGACCCTGTAGACAAGCTTACCAGATGTGTGTCAGATATTCCTCAGCGGATGTCGCAAAAGCTTCTACAACTAAATCACAAAAGCACAGAAATTCCGATCCCTGGTACTAAAACTCAGGGAAAGCCGCTTTATGAGAAGTGCAGTTCTGTAGCTTCAGGTACCAAACCTAAAGTATGAAACCTGGGTGTGATCTTAGACTCTGAGCTCTGTTTTATCCTGCCTGTAAATGCAATCACTAAAGTAGCTTTCTATCCTTTGAGAAATATTGCGAAAGTTCAGCTTTTTCTATGTCAGAGCGATGCAGAGAAACTTTTTTTGATTACTATAAAACCTGGATCCTATTATAAATACAGGTATCCTTATAAGAACTAAACACAGAGCTCATACCCCCCCTTGAAAGAACTGCACTGGCTACCTGTTTCTTTTAGGATAGACTTTAAAGTTCTGCCGCTAGTTTTTAAGGCTCGAAATGACCTTAAAGCACTCGCTTACATCACAGAGTGTCTGTCTGTTTATGTTCCAACATATGATTATTATTATTTTGGAAAATATGAATAGAAAGAAGATCCCACCTGAACTATGTACACTTTATCCAATCGAACATCTTCCCTCCAAATCCTCATTATCAGCAGCTCAGTATAAAACCAGATATTCTCATTATGATGTTAAGAGTCATGCACTGAGAGAAGAAAAAGAGAGCTGTAGTTTCCGCTGTGTACTCTCAGAGAAAGTTGTGTTTGCTGTTTGTGATGAAGACCAATCTACCGTTGCCTGATTGGCTAAATGCAATGCACATTCATTTGCATAAACTTTTCCATTTGCATAAACTTTCTGGCCATGAGGCAAAGCATTTTTTACCACACCGCAAACCATCATGTACCGCACAAGGCGGCAGAGCTCTCCATGGAAATGAATAGGATACAGTGAGGCGAAGATGCAAGTAGACATGCACCGTTAAGATTGATGAAAACAGGAATAAAGTCATTTGTTGCAGCTCTCCACACTTCTGCACACTTTAATGCACAATCACTGTGTGTTTGCTGAATTTGACATATTGGGGAATAAAAAAAAATATCAAATATGGTTTGTGCAAAAGTTATGGCACATTTTATATTATAGTTTTATTGTTTGCTATTATGTTGATCTCAGCATTACTTAATAATTACCAAAACATGTCAGTGACACATTATTTTGGGTGGTCATTTTTAGATTAAATAAACACTTAATGGACTCTCAGTAATATGTCAAATACATATGAGGGTTAGGATTAGGTTTTGGGCTGAGGTTAAGGTTAGGGACTTAACAACTCAGTACCCATAAAAAAGATGAAGACAGTTGCAATGGGAATAAAAGAACATGGTTGAAAGTAGGTTCTACTTGAACCTGGTTAATTGCATAAAATGTCCATGTTACATTTAACCCATTGTGCTGTACTCTCTCCTATGAGTGAAACAGGCCTGATTGTGTATGTGTGTGTCTCACCCATAGTGTTGCAGCTGCAGTTGTAACAGGGCAGCTGCGGCGATGGTCTGTAGAAGTTTTCTCTGCAGCGTTCGCAGTGTGGCCCCGCTGTGTTTTCCCTGCAGCCGATGCAGCGCCCCCCGCTGCCTGTGCTGCGGTACTGCTCTGCATCAAACTCACACTCATCTGCACGCCCGCTGCAGTTGCACACTGACGCAGGCAGAGAGAGAGAGAGAGAGAGAGAGAGAGAGAGAGTCATAGTATGAAGTGAGGCAGCAAGGAAAGAGCGAAAAAGAATGCGAGAAATGAGGCAGAAAGCAGAAAACAAACAATGAAAAAAATGAGAAAATGTATTAGTAATACATAAGTAATTGCCTCTGAAAGTTTCAAGTCATTGAACAGCTCTTTCTCTGTATCACTGACACATTTGCACAACAGTAAATTATTCAAGCTCTACCATCCAATCACAGTCCTCAAAGACTGCTCATTACGCATGAGCCACCTAGGGGGGGCATTGTGGGAAATGACCCATTTTATTCCAAATCTGCCCGTCTCTGTCTCTTTAGTCTGTAATAACTGTGCGATTATCACTCCCCGGTGGGCCGTACTGTCTCTGCCTGACATTGAAGGAAGGCTATTCTTCAGTACACTCCGCAAGGATTCCTAATCCCAGTACATCACTGCTTATTAAACCATAACAATGATTCCTTTTGTATTTTAGTACACAGGCCACTCGTACATTAATTAGAAGGCCCTCTAGAGAAGTTTGAGCAGTAGTAGGTTTTAGTATTCTAGCAAGTGGGTAAGATTTGTCTTAGAAGCATTCAAGCGTATGGCTGCATCATGCATTTAGTCATATTTTTAGTTGAAAATATGGAACAGAGCGGAATAAAATGTGAGAATGCATTGTGGGTGGAAATTTCTAGACACTTCTAGCAAAAAAATAGATAAATACTAAATATATACACCAACCAGGCACTTCATTAAGTACACCTACCTTATATTTACACTCTTGGTCCATTTTATTGGCTTCACCTATAATTTGAAAGCCCCCTGTCAACCTGTTCTTCAAGGGCCACAACCCCCACAGGACCACCACAGAGCAGGTATTATATGGGTGGTGGATCATTCTCAGCACTGCAGTGACACTGACATAATGGTGCTCTGTTAGTGTGTGTTGTGCTGGTACAAGTGGACCAGACACAGCAGTGCTGCTGGAGTTTTTAAATAGTGAGTCCACTCACTGTCCACTCTGTTAGACACTCCTGCCTTGTTTGATCCACCTTGTAGATGTAACGTCAGAGTAGTTCATCTGTTGCTGCACAGTTTGTGTTGGTCCCCTAGTCCTTTATCAGTGGTCACAAGACACTGTTGGCTGGATATTTCTGGTTGGTGGACTATTCTCAGTCCAGCAGTGACATTGAGGTGTTTAAAAACTAGAGCAGCACTGCTGTGTCTGATCTACTCATATCAGCACAACACACAGTAACACACCATCACCATGTCACTGCAGTGCTGCTCTGTGGTGGTCCTATAAGAACAGGGTCAAAGTGAACTCACAAAGTATGCAGAAAACAGATGGACTACAGTCTGTAATTGTAGAGCTACAAAGTACAAATCCAAAAAAAAATTAAAATAACATTTATCACTATTGTGTAAGCTATTATTTTTCACAATTAATTGAGTAATCAGTTATTGCTAAAAGGCCAAGCAGTAAAAAAAAGTCTTATCTTCCCTATAAGAACCCATGAATAGCATTTACAAGCTCCAATACTTAGCTTGCAAAAAAAAAAACTAACAAACAAAAAAAAACAGGGGACCTTTAAAAACATATAGTTTGAATGTTTGAAGAGTCAGAGAATTTATTATGGTCTGTCATTTCCATAAGCTGACCTGCTTAACCAGTCCTAACAAGTCAGTTAGGGCTTAATAAGATAATGAAGTTCTGTGGCTTTACAACTGGAAGCGTGTCCAGACTTTTTTTCACATGCCACATTTGCTATTTTATTTTATCCTATTTTTATAAGATCTAATATAAAATATCTGTATTAACTTTTGCAGAAATATAGGTTATGTAATTTGGCCAAACTTATGTGTACACCTTTGTATATACAGTACTGTGCAAAAAATTTTAGGCAGCTGAGAAAATTACATTTACAAAAGCTGTTTATCTGGACATAAGCCTTCGTTTGATCAGAAACACACATACTAAATACAAATAATATTAGTACAGTACATAGTGATTTTACATGTCATGTATATTAACTTTAGCTCACAAGATCTCAATTTCTTTCATTCTTTAATTTACATTTTTTACTTTATCTATGTTTATTTATATCTATGTATTTTTAATAATATGCTTAAGTGCCTAAACTTTTTCACAGTACTGTATATTTGGTCCAAAGTGCATTCAGTGCTACTTTCATTATTTTCCATGATATATGTTGTTGAGAGTGGGCTTTACACATACAAGAAATACCAATGCTGTTATGATGATGTGTTTTTGGAGAAAGCTTTTAGTTTTCTCAAACCTCCTCTTTATACAAATGGATACGGATGCAGAGTACAAGGCTAGTCTTTCATCCATGCTCTCTCACGATTGCTAACACTAACGCTAATTTAACTCAGTTTCTGGCTTGTTTTTTAATCTTAAAGTCTCTCTCTCTCTCTCTCTCTCTCTCTCTCTCATCCACATCAATTAATGTATGTGCGTACCCCCTCAAGAGAGAGAAGCATATGGCACCAAACTAGCAGTGCCTACTTTACAAATGAAAGCCATAGCGTGGCCAATAACGATGCAAATTCTTGTCGCGGCTGCGCATACATTACACAAAACGTGCCTTTTGCCGCCTTTGCTGTCGTTTACTGGTGTTTTAGTTAACCAAAACGTAAATCCTCGTTTTCATTTGGAAGAACGACAGTCGGTTGCAAAAAGCCATCTGTTGGCCGCAGAAAACGAGTTAATTAAAATGACACGTGGCTTATTAGAATGGCAAATTAAACAATTACCAGACTGTGCTTTTTTTTGTTTGTTTTGTTTTTGGTTGGCGCTTTTTAGGTTTATCGGATCAGTCAATTACCGCCTCCCTCGTTTGTGAAAACCATATAGAAGTATGCCAAGAGAGATAAGCGGGAAACCCACTCTCGCATGTATACCCAGCCGACTGCACACGGACGCAGTTGCTAAAAAACATATTAGTGTTAATTACCCCAGGCAGCCACCAAACAAACAATTCTTTTGTTGGGATTATTCAAGATAATACAAAAAGCACACATCCCCAGTTTGTGCTCAAAAACAGAGCTGCTGTTTGTTGATATAATCGCTAAGCCAGAGGGATTTGATCCAGTCCCTCAAACACAGCCAGTACATCCACATATTCGCTTGATTTTACTTAGACACCTAGCATTTTGAAATATTTTAAAGACAAGCTTGTTTTCTTTGTCAGCTTGTTATGACTGATAGGGGTCCATATCATGGAAAACCAGATTAGTTCAAGTTTCAAAAAGTACATTTCACTGCTAGTCCACACAGTCTATATATGGAATAAAGCTGCAAGAACATCCTGTATTGATTTCACTGTTGTTGTGATGTTAGCCTTCAGTGGTTTAACCCCACCTATTCATGCTGAATTCACGCTGGTAAATAACTAACCATTTCACATCAAACCACTATGAATGACTCTCTTGTCCCCCTTGTTCCCTTACTATTTCCCAACAGAGGTTGGAAAATGGTCATTAGGACAACTGGTTTTGGTACATAAAACGTTATAAGCACACATAAGTGGGCTTCAGGGAGAAAAAAACAAGAAAATGTTGGATATTGGCCTTTTAATATACTTAAGAAGCAAGTTTATTTAAATAAAAACTATCACACAAGGAAGTATTTGTCATAATATTTATGAAAGTACTGCTTTAGAACTAATGACATACCTCACACATTTTATCCCCTTGTGATGGCAGCAATGAAATCTTCAGCTGTTTAAAGGACCTTTAGGCTAAACGAGTTTCAATATGTGTAAAGCTTTATGAATGTAAAGCTTGAATAGTTGCCAATTATAGGTTGTCTCTCTCTCTCTCTCTATAAATGTAGATACATATAAATATACACATACCTCGTATCTCCAAAATGAGAGCTTTATAGGAGAAGGAAAAAACATACTCTACTTTTAATGTAAATCAATGGAACCAGACTTATCTCCAAGTAATTTTGGATCATTTCCTTTGGTCCATTCATCATGAAATTTACACACTACGTAAAGGACAATGAGTACTTTCACATTATGTAAAAAAAACCCAGAAAAACGACAAGAATGGAGATACAAGGTTTTGTTTCGACAGCAGCAATTTATATATTGCACATTGTGCGGTGCAGTTAATGACTTTAGCACTGCAGGACAGAAGTTTACCCTGCTGTCACATCAGTTCTGTTGGGATCTGCACAGTAAATGAGTTAGCTTAAAAGTCCCCAGACACACACCCACAATGTCCAGTTTGCCACAGGATGTTCCAAACTTAGACTGACCTTACTTTGGGACAATATGGGTTGCAAAAGCATACATACTGTCTGGGGAATTGCATCACTTTCTTTAATGATCTAATTTTACCTGCTAGCAGAAAAAGGCCAACTTTTATTTATTTATTTTTTTTTTTATCTTTGGCTGGCTAATTTGTTCTAAGAATAGGATTTCAGTGATTTTAGACACCAACTCCCACAAACATTGCACTCTTTTTTTCCCTTTTTACGGTGTATTAGGCACATGAACACAATAATCACAAAGTTTCAGGTTCACATGTTTGGCCTAGCTCCAAAAAACCAACAAAAATATATTAAATCATATGAGTTAATGTAAAACGTAACATGGTAACTAAATTGTCTGGTAACAGCAACGTTATTAGCAGTAAATGACTGTACTGATTATTTAACCCTCCTATTATCTTTGGGGTCAATTTGACCCCATTCAAATTTTAACAACGCTAAATAAATTACGGACATAATGTTTTTGCTTCATATTTAATGACTTTCCCTAATTTAATGGGGACAACTGGGTAAACATAACATGATGACGATATGTTTTCAATGTCTAAAACACATTTCGTACACATTGGTATTCTTTGGGGTCAGTTTGACCCCAGGCTGTTTTAGCTGTATAAAATATAAGAAATGTCAATATTTTTCACACGTTTGTTTTGGTTGTTTTGGATGATACTGAGGTCCTTATAACATGCAATTTTATAATCTTCAAAAACTTCCTCTGCTTTAGGGCCCTAACCTGATACAGCCATCCCTGTAGTAGTGCGAGAACCACCAATAGTCCACAGCACATGGGGGGGTGGATAATTTCAACCAGAATTTTTGTATTTCCTGGGGTCAAATTGATCTCAAGAATAAAATATGTTAGTAAATTTTAGGATAACAGGGGGCCTAACTTGATTTCTCAAAAAATGTGTAGAATAATGAAAGAAAACCATATGTTACTGGCCTAAAGAGTCAAAATAAGAATACACAAAAGGTAGTTATCCATAGTACCAGTAACAGTAATATCAATTAGAGCTTTAGTTTGTCCATAGATTTGCAAGTAATAACTACATAATTTAACAGATGGATTCTACAAGTCACTTAACAGATGGGTTGTAAGGCTTAGTCCCATTTAAGCAGAAGTTCAGTGTTTTAGAGTATATTAGTTGAACAATAGGTGTGAATAGGCCATATGGTATGAAAGCACTGTTGTAAAAAGAATAGTTAACTCTAAAATCTCTAAAATGGCAACTTTTACCGTTCTTTTCTTTTAACATAAGTTAATGTAAAGAGATTTTATTCCAAGCAATTTTGGAGCATCTCTGTTGGTTCATTCATCATGAAATTTTCCCACAATGTAAAGAGCATTAGGTGTGCTTAAATGATGTAGAAAAAATGGGGAAAAAATGGAGATACTTATTTTTTTGGACAGTGAAAATATGGTTAACCAATGCTTTATTTTTAAGGCTTCTCAAGCATGACAGGGTCTATTCTGGAAACCCAACAGGCTAGGGGGGACCTGGGGAAAAGTATGCACCCCACATAAAACTGAGCATTTAATTTACAGTACTTCAACGGTTTTTTTAAACATTGTAGGCTAGTTGGTAGTTGTCATCCTCTCTGTAGCGATATCCTTGGTCTTACGCATGTTACCTGGTTCCCATGAACCTGAAAATAGTCCTCCCCTAAAATTAAATTGTATGGAATAGTTCATTTCTATACAGCTCTGCAAAATATATCTGGCATGAATGTCTAGAACTGACCCTTGGCACATTTTAACCTCTTCAACTCCACTGGTGGTTCCAAAATGCACTTGGTCATATTCTTCATAACTTTCATATTTCATAAGCTACATTCAAAAGGTGGGTGTCATATGAGAGCTGTAACTGTCTTCTTTCCAGTCAAATAAATGGGTAATGTAATTTTAAACCCTTATAATAGAAAAAGCTGAACATCTGCTGAAAGTTGACCCATTTTTCCACAAATCTAGTCTATAAACTATAAACAGATGGTGTCTCTTCAGTGATATACTCTTTTATATAGACTTTTTATAAAATAATACAAAGAGCTTCTAAGATTTTTGGCTTTTAGCAGTAAATTGTAAGCATATAGCAATATGTGTATGATCATAAAACACATGATCTATTAATTTGAGGGGAGCTTTTACAAAAAATAAATAAATACAATAAAAATCTACATTTATTTCATGCAGTTACTGAATAATTTACCTTACGATTTGGTCATGTAAATTCAGATGGACAAACCAAGATATAACCTGGAGAATAAGAGGTTAAAGCATGGTTGACAGTACTTTTTCAGAACTTACTCAACTGTAGGGCAATGTAAATCAAACTCTAATTAATTGAATACATTTCCAGAGGGATATAATTAACTGTAAATGTTTATTTTGATTCATTCAAAGGATTTCTCAAGAATGCTGTGTAACAGTTAAAGGAACGTATGGTTTTGCCTAGTCTATGAAGTTAAAAGTAGATGTTAGATACATAAAAGCTTGCTTGACACAGAAGATTAAAAGTAGCATTAGTAACTCAGGTTTGAACAAAATGTCTATTAGAACCTCTCTGCTTTTTTGATGTTTGGTTTTGCTATGGTGTTGATTGGAACTGAAATGTAGGCCCATATATACTCTAAAAAATGATGATATCTAAGAGGTTCTTGGCTTGGACATATAGTTCTTTTATTGGCACAGGATTGTGTGGATGTCTTTTAAGCCTACACTTGCAGATTTCATTTGAATAGTTGATTAGGGATCCAACGATTGTTCTTCTATGGCATTATAGCAAAAACCCTTTTCCGCAACTTTTCAGTCATGGCAAATTAAGCAGAAATGATAACGTTGCACTTACAGCAATACTGACTGTTGATAAACCTGCTGTAGTATATAATTGGCTTCAGTACTCACTCACACACTGGTTGGCAGAATCTGCAGTGGCGCGAGCCCAGGGGCGGTCCTGGTAGAATGGGGCACAGTGCTGGCAGTCCGTCCCAGCAGTGTGATGCTCACATGCACACACCAACCGTCCATTCTCGTTTGGCACACACTCGCTGGCATGCCCGTTACACTTGCATCTGTGTTTTGAGGAGAGATAATGATCTGAGGACAGTGTCAAAAACATTGCTGTTGTTTTGGATAGAAAATGACACTCAACCCCGGAGACAGTTAGAGGTAATTAAAGCTGTAAGACAGTTGAGACTTTTGTGTTAGAGATAATTAAGGAACAGCAGAAGTGTTTGAAAGTGTGTTGGCACTTGTTAAAGAAAAACTCAAGCTCAAGCCAGCTACCCATTGACTTCTATTATAAGTGTGTCTTGAGGCAATATTGCTATTCTTTTTTCATTTCAATATTTCTTTCTATACTTTTCTACAAACATCAGAAAGCAGTGATTTGTATTAGCTTCATTGTTTGTTGACACTTTACGCTCTTTCTGAAATTGATGCCCACAAAATGTTCCAGAAAAGTTAAGACAGGCAATTTAACATTGTGAGATGTTTAAAAAGCACCTTTGCCAGGTGATGCTTGGGTACAAAAGGAGCATCCCGGAATGACCTAGTCCTTTATGAGCAAAGATAGGTCCTTGTCTCTACACTCATTGTCCATTTTATCAGCTCCACTTACCATATAGAAGCACTTTGTATACTGTAGTCCATCCGTTTCTCTGCATACCTTATTAACCTCCTTTAACTCTGGTATGAATGAATCAGACACAGCAGTGCTTCTGGAGTTTTAAACACCTCAGTGTCACTGCTGGGCGGAGAATAGTCCACTTACCAATAATATCTAAGCAATAGCAACCTGTAGGCAGCGTCTTGTGACCACTGATGAAGGACTACAAGATGACCAACACAAACTGTGCAGCAACAGATAAGCTATTATATGCGATAAGTCTCTGACTTTATATCTACAAGGTGGACCAACAAGGTAGGTGTGTCTAATAGAGTGGACAGTGAGTGGACACAGTGTTTAAAAACTCCAGTTTCTAACTCCAGCAGCACTGCTGTGTCTGATCCACTCGTACCAGCGCAACACATATTAACACACCACCACGTCAGTGTCACTGCAGTGCTGAGAATGATCCACCACCCAAATAATACCTGATCTGTGGCGTCCTGTGGGGCTCCTGACCATTAAAGAACAGAATAAAATGGGGCTAACAAAGTATGCAGAGAAACAGATGGACTACAGTCTGTAATTGCAGAGCTACAAAGTGCACCTATATAGTAAGTGGAGCTGATAAAATGGACAATGAGTGTAGAAACAAGGAGATTTTCCTAATAAAGTCCTTGGGGAGTCTACATACACACTTCGGAGCAACATATGCTGCCGTTCAGATGATGTATTTTTCAGAGACATCTATGCTTATTTCAACATGACAGCAGAAAGCTATATTCTTCATGTTACAACAGCATGGCTGTGTAATCAAAGAGTGCCTGCTGTCCAGACCTGTTTCCTATTGAAGACGTGTGGTGCAATATGAAGTGCAAAATATGACAACAAAGGCTCTGTTCAGTTGCACAGCTGAAAACTTGTTTAAAGGAAGAATGGCAAAAAAATCTCTTCAAAACACCTCTTTTAAAACTAGATCAATTGGCATCGTAGTCGCCAAAACAATTATTAGGTGTTGTCAAAAGGAAATGTGTTAACACATAAACATGCTCCTGCCCTAACTTAATGCAGGCATCAGATTTGGAATGAGCATATATATAATGTGAAACATCAAATATTGTGTTTTTGTAGTGTTTTCAACTTAATAGAGGTCAAACTGTAAGTATAAGAAAATACATCCAAATGATGCTTCATATTAACACCATAAAATCCCAGTCTTGTTACATACTAAGGCTTATTATTCACTAACTACAAGGACTTCGATACAAACTAGTTGAGCTGTTCTTAGGTTACAGAAGTGTGTAATAAAACTTTGGGCCTGCTGGTGGGCCCCAGCCATTTAAGGAGTTCATTGATCATAAGCTACAGATGCAGATTCCTTGAACTTTATAGTAAGCTAAATGCCATTGGAGAAGAGATGTTTGGATTTCAGTGGTGTTAGCATGTGTTGTGTAATCTTTGATAGCAGCACACCAAAGCCAATTCACCAACACCAAATAATTCAACTTAATTACACACACATGTCCACCATCCTATGCCCCCACTCCCTGTTTCCCACCACACACACACACACAGAGCAATCCCTCTGTCTCACCACTCCCACCACACACACAGCATTCTCTCACCACCAAATCCTGTTTACATTGCAAACACATTAACTCAAAGAAGTTTTGCACTTCCTGCAGAACAGATTGTAGGTTTTTGCCAGAAGTCAGTATCTGTGTTTAGTGTGCATATGCATTCGGCTGCTTGGCACAGACTGACATTTTCAGTCCAACAGTTCAGCACTGTAGGTTAATGCATCAACGTGTCATGCTTGCCTTCTTATGTATCTGTATATTTTTTTCAGAATAAGATTGTCTGAAAAAAAAAGATACAATGGCTGAGCAACAATATCAAAATGCTCCTGACTTTGTAAATCATTTTTGGCCCATATCATCGAAAACCAAGATTTCCTTGATTTTTGAAATAAGTGTTAGATGTAATATCTGAACCAGCGCTGTAACTAGGATCAAAACTTTAGTGAGGTTGATTTTGTAGAAAAGTGATCTACATCACACTAATGGCTGAATGTGTATTACAGCAACTGGCACTGTCTCATTTAGTCTTTTTTTTCATTTTTTGTAGTGTTCCTTTTACACATCCATAATTGTTATGAACCTGTTTATTTCCGTTTGTTCATTTCCAATCCCTCCATTCTTCAATAAACTGCTTTAACCCCTTAAAATCCCAGGCTTATTGCCATTTAAGGGGTTAACTCTAGGTACCCTGCATTTTATTTAGTTAATTATACAATTATTTATTGACATATTTATTTTCAGATGTGAATACATGTTGAGATCTGTCTATTGTTGCCGTCAGAACAACACCTCCAAACAAATTACTCTACAGAAGAAGGGTAGTTGATAGTTTTATATTGATTGTTTTTCATTTACCTTTCTCTCTGCTTGGCTCTTTTTCTCTCTTACTTCTTAGATTTCACTGATTACTGAAAAAACATACTTTAAGGGGAAGGTAATCTAGCAGTTAACTGAACATAATATAGCCTTTTGTACCTGTTGATTTCTTAATTACAATTGATCAATTTGACCAAAAATTTAATTAATAAAGGGTGGCATCAGACTTCTGCACAGTATTGTGTATATGATCTCACATTCTGACACTGTACAGAAACAAGTGTGTGTGTGTGTGTGTGTGTGTGTATAGGTGTGTGTGAGCATGTTTCACCTGCCCCCCACTGAGAAGTCAGAGATGGCATAAAAGTAGGAGCGCAGCACTTTGGCATCCTTAAAAAACTCGTCTCCAAATGTGTTGAGCCTGTTCAAAGAGATCAGAAGATCAGTGGCTGTCACCCACTCCTGCAGAGAGAAAGAGAGAGAGAGAAAGAGAGAGAGAGAGAATGAATATGTGAAGAATGACTTTACAAATGGATTGTATAACATATTCCCATTTTAGCTCTTTTTAGATCAGTCTGTTTCATAGGATGTAGATACAATTGTGTATTATTTTCTAATAAAACACTATTTTAGACTTTTAAGAATTTATTAGAATTAATTACTTTATTAGAGATAATTAATTTATGAATCATTTATTTATAATTTATTAAGTCATTACTACTTTGCCATGCTGCTTAAAAGTAATTTTGTACTTACATATCAATTACATACACAATTACAATCAAATACATAATTTTAGTTTTATCCCTAGGTTTACTATTGTAGTTTTGCTATACATCCAATTTACCTTATCTAATCAAGAGTATATGCAATATATATAATAGCGTATGTGCTATTATGTTGCTGACAAATTTTAAATAATAAAAAATAAATAAACATTTAATGTAAGTTAATGTAAAGACATTTACTGTAAGTGATTGTGAAGCACTTGTATTTGTCTATTCTTCATGAAAGAAATCTTGTTCCATTAACTTCAATTCAAAGTAAAGAACCATATCAATGGCATAACTTTAGCAACCACTGTGGATACCACAGCAACTGCTTAGCAACACATTAGCAACCACCTTGGATATTATAGCAATGGCCTAGCAACACCTTAGCTACAACTGTTGATACAATAGCAATGGCTTAGAAACACTTAGCAACCACCTGGGATTGCACAGCATGGCTTAGCAACACCTTAGCAACCACCTGGGACAGCATAGCAACAGCTATGTCAAGCCAACTAAAAATTTATTCTCAAATGTTTCCCTTACTTGGCCAGGGCCCACAGTATTATTACATGACCCAAAGTATTATTACACACTTCTATAACCTAAGAATAGCTCAGCCAGATTTCATTGAGGTCCCTGTAGTTACTGAGTAATAAGCCTTAGTAGGTAATAAGACTAGGGTTTTAAGGGGTTAAATGAACACAGTCTAATCTCTGTTATGTATGTAATGTTCAATCAATTACCATGGACAATAATTTCAATACATGACTCTGAACATAAAACAACAGAAAACAGGCTCAAAATTCACTGAATAGACGTCTTTCATGACAAAACCTTGCATCTCTATTTTTATCATTTAAAAATTGCCCTTTAAAATATGTTCAAATGTCACAATAACTTTACCTATAGAAATAGACTAATATTATTCAGAAAAATAAACCTTTTCCATTAACCTCAATTCAAAGTTAAGAATATTTTTTTCTTCTCCTGTAAAGCATTCTCAGCTATTTTGGAGACACAAACTTTGTGCCAACAGTGATATAAACAAGTACATTAGTAAATAACTATCACATAGCAATTTCAATTTACATTCTGTGGGTTCAAGTCGGCACATCTGACTTTCAATGTCAAATAATGACAAAAACACAAAATGTAAATCACTTTCTAGAAGACACAGTTCATATCAAATCACACCATTTTTTATCACTAGCGATAACTACGACATCAAAAGGTAAAATGAGGTTAATCAGTGCTTTCATATGAAGGCATGTCAAGCATGAGAGGATTTCTATTAGAAAATTAACCTGAGAGAAACCTGGTTTTTAACAAATATGAAAGCCTGTGTTTAAATTGTGTGCAGTGAAATTGGTGTGTGGGCAGGAAATAGTTTAAATATGAAACTATGAAGAAACTTAGAGGAAGATACAAAAGAGTATTCATTTAATAGACTTTTTTGGAATTAAGGAGAAAGCTCGGTGGAACTGTTTAAGCTCATTTATGGCTTCTGACAAAGAACACATTGAGTTTCTCAGGGACTCTATTAAGGCGGTGTCAAGGAGATTAATCTGGACAGGCAGATGGACTAACAGCAGAGAGGGAAAAAAGAAAGACAGGATAGAAAGAAAGAAGAGAATGTGTGCGTGTGTGTTGGAATGTTCACTCCTGAATGAGGATCATTTCACAAGGCCAGAAAGTTGAGGTGAAATGTGAAAGGCTAGACTAAGGATAAGAGTGAGAACATATGTCTCAAATTGGTAGAACATAAACATTGTGACTTTATCCTGGATGAGGATCATTTCACAAGGTCAGAAAGTTAAGGTGAAAGGTTAGACAGAACACATGTTTCAGATTGGTAGAACATGAACATTGTGACTTTATCTGAGACAAAGAGACAGTAAGGAGATAACTTTTTTCCCCCAACATCTTGGGGCCCATTTGGATTTTCCTGGTTGCAGCTAATTAACAGCAGTTTAATTGGCATTGTTTTAGATGCAACATGTGCACTTTGCAAGTCAACCCTGACATTAAGATTAAAAGAATTATTGTTAAGTTGGTTTACCAAAGTCAACTTAATGTTCTTTGTTATCCTCTCATTCTTATTATTCTATGGCTTAAATACCATTTTCACATGTTGCAGTTTTCGAACAACATCTACATGACAATGTACATAAACTTTATAATAGCTACACCTACAACACCTTAGCAACCACCTGGGAAACCATAGCAATTGCCCTGCAAAAACTTAGCAATCACCTGAGAAACAACAGCAAAGGTTTAACAACACATTAATGACCACCTGGGATATTATAGCAATGGCCTAGCAACACCTTAGCAACCACTGTGTATACCATAGCAACTGCTTAACAACACCTTAGCAACTGCCTGGAATATCATAGCAATGGACTAGCAACACTTTCACTACCACCAGGGTTACTATAGCAATGGCCTAGTAACACCATGGCAACCACTGTGGAAACCATAAAAATGGCCTAGCAGCACTTAGCAAGCATCGGGGATACCATAACAACAGCCTAGCAACACCTTAGCAACCAGGTGTGATAGCATAACAATGGCCTTCAACATCTTAGCAACCAAATGGGATAGCATAGCAACAGCCTAGCAACACCTTAGCAACCACCTGGGATAGCACAGCAATGGCCACGGACAATAATTTCAACACATTACTCTTAATTTAGAAAACAACAGAAAACAGGCTCAACACTCACTTATTAGACAACTGGACAGTTGCTGAATTCTATTAATAAGCATTTATGCTAAATATCTGTGTTTTTGTAGAAAATTTTATGTATTCTTCAGTCAAAGATATTTTCAAATTAAGCTACATATCTAAACATATAATTTGTTCTTTCAAATGATGCATGCAGTTTTCCAGAAGCAGTGATGTAGGCTAATGGATACCAGTAAGCCTTAAGGAAATATTTAGGGAAAATTAGCCTTAACTAGTTCTTTATTGCTGTTCTAATGTCCTAAAGTTGGCAAAAAAACAAACAAAAAAAACAAAACAAAACAAAACAAACAAAAAAAACAACTTCATACGAACACCTTTAGTTAGATATTCTCTTATGTCTGTCTCTTACTAAGACTTATATTGTTAGAGAGTAACAACTGTATTTTCAACTTCAGCAGCTGTTCCATGGCTTCTATTCTAAGTCAACAAGTTTGCAGTACAGGTAAATGTGATGGAATTACTGTCTGTGCAAACCGATGTGCAACCAAAGATTAGGTTGAAAAACACTGAAGTATTCCATTAAGAAACTGGATTGGTCCTACAACGAGTCCCTGGGGCACTCCGCAGTAACTACCTCCTATTTGCTTGCCTAATACACTGACTAAGGATGTCTTTAATCCACTGGACTAGAGTCAAGTATCATGAATCCCACAGGCAAGATGCTTAGCCAGAGGACCAGAATGCCAACTGTTTTATTTTCATACTTTCATCCAGCCTTTTCACTCCTGGGTAATCTCTTCTAGCATGTCCACTGTTGAATGACCACATCTTAAAGCAATATGTAGCCCAATGAACGCAGCACCCTGTGACCACTTGTTGACGGAATGCACCTGGCGCATTCATAGCCTTTTGGCCACTGTATTGTTCTCATTAATGGAGTTTACACTCAGCTACGCTGCCAGAAACACTGAGGTGTATATACACTTACATTGTAGACTGGAGAACAAGGATGAGAAAGAAAAAAAAGAGCTTTGCTAGCACCCTGGAAATGTGTCCAAACTTTTTCTCTGAGGGATGAAAACTTATTTCTATTCAGAGCAATGTGTAAACAAGTAGAGGGAACAGAAATATCCCTCTGAACTCTCTTTCTCTCTCTCTCTCCTCCTTTCAGTAATGCTTGCTCTCTCTGTATAGACATCCTCCTCTTTCTCTGCATCAATCCTTTAATCTCCACAGAGCTCTCTTCCCCTCTCTCACTCTCTCTTTTCTATCTTTCAGTACCAATCCCTATAGCTCTTCTTTCTTTCTCTCTCTCTCTCTCTCTCTTGCTCTCTTTGAATGTCCAGTTGCACTCTCCCACCACTTTTTTTTACTCTATTGTTCACCTTCCCTCCTCTCTCCCTTTGAGTGCTCGACTGTGCATCAGGTAAAAACTTTTTCCCTAGAAAGTTTTGCTTTCTTGGCTAGTTAAGGCTTGGCGGAAACTCCTGGATGACGGTATGCCATGAATCATAAAGACAAACAACCACAGAACAGCAGGGTGAGAGAGAAAGAGAGAGAGAGAGAGACTGTGCAGTGATGCTGACTTTGCAGTGTAGCTTCATAGTTGCAAAGTTTGACCAAAACTGATGATAGTTGGCTATTCCTACATATAGACCTGCATAACATGGATCATCTAAACAGTGTAGGTAACTGTAGCACCATTATTTAGGGACATGATCAGTCATTTATTTCCTCCTTTCATAGCTTCATTTAGATGCAATTACTTCTTGTTCTGGATTATGGTAGTGGATATGTGATACATTTGCCTCAATTTGTTTGCTGTCTTTAGTTGTTTTTCACCTTTGGAAGTGTTTGAACATCTTGGTTTGCTTTGGCTCATTTGTGGTGTTTTGCATGTTTTAAGATGCGGTTACAGCAGGAGTTCCCCAAGGTGGCATTCTGGGGCCAATCTTGTTTGTTAATAAATAGGGGACATTGCATTGGTTAGCACAGGGGTT